ACTGCACCCAAAGCTGCTCTGTGTGCCAAACTCCCAGCACATAAGGATTGAGGCGAGCCCAGTGAGCAGAGCCAGCACAGCAGTCTGGCTAGCTTATACAGTGCTGCAGTGCCCAGGTTAAATAAAGCAGCCTAAAATTACACTGCTGTGTGTCGTACAAAAGCATTTCTCTTCTGTTCCTCTTTCGTATTAACAAGCACCATGTAAAAACCATGTTCCCCTCCTGTCATGTAGGGCGGTTTTCAGACAAACTCCTACTCATAACTAGCTAGTCGACTCCTTTCAAAGCACTTTAAGGTAACAGGCAAAATAAGTTACTCCAATATGTTTTAATAACATTGCATTTTGTAACTTCTGATATTACAGTACTGACCAGCAGAAAGGCTAAAGACACCAATTACCATGAGTATAGGCATTGCTTTCAAAGTTAATCAGTGCAGAGCCCATACCAAACCATGAGCCTTTCACACAACCAGAACACCCTCCTAGAGTCTCATGAAGCCTCCAGCACCCTCTTCTAGTGACTGTTCAGATTTCTTTCACTTTCAGCATCCATAGGTGATGCCTCTTAGTCAGAAATCAGAAAAAAAAGACAGACCCCATACACAAAAAGGGAGGAGGCTGCTAGCTTGGTTACCAGACTAAAGAAAATTTTCAGGCCCAAATACATCCCAGTGTAAAAAAAAAACTCCTTGTTTTTGTTTTTTGTTTTAATTTATACAGATCCACTTATCAGACTCTAACTGGAGTTTCATTTTTCCACCAACCAGCTGTGAACTAATTACAAGGACATCTAACTAGTCCTGCTCCCATACCAAGCATATGGTTCCAATTAAGTCAAACTGCAGCTGATTTTAATCAATCTTCCTTAAAGCAGTCAAACTTGAAGAATCTCTTCTCCTTCAGCTCGAAGAATAGAGGAGAGCAGGAAAAGCAGGAGAGTAGTATTTGCATAAGGAACACTTCACATCCGCTGGGTTGCCCTTAAACATGAGGCTCCGAGCAGTCAGAAATGCTAATTGAACGCTCTTCACAAGTCTTTCCTCCCACTTCACTCGAAAAGCACTGATTTGATCTGTCTCTTTTGTTCCTGGCCAAGTTGCACGTTTCCACCAGCAACGTGGGAAGACCATCCAGATCATTTCCCTCAACTAACAAACCAAACTTCTCACTTGAGATCTCAGCAAACCTGCCCACCGTGGGCCAAGCAGTTCAAGCAGGTTTGTTTTCCCGGATTAAAGACTCAGCCTATCTTGCTTCATCAAAAGCAAGACAGTGGGGGAGAGGAGATAAAATTGAGTTAAACCTGCTCTTTTCACATGTTGTTTGAACCCTTCTGCTGAGCAACCGTTCAGATGTTTGCGTTCAGATAACATCCTGGGTGACTGGGGAGGCACCTCAGCAGGGTGTCATTCCCCTACAGTCCCAACCTTTCTTGTGCTTTTGTAATCTGAGGTTTTCATTAGCAGTAAAGACCTGAGCAGTGAGTAATATCCATGCTAAAGTCTTTACACCAGTGAAGGAAAATCAATGCAGCCTGCAGCCCAGTGTCAAGAGCCAAGGGTTTCAGAACAGGGGATGTGTGGAGGTGGAGAGTGCCTTCAGCCATAATTCAAGTTGTCCCCACACAAGCAAAGAATATAGAGATGTCAGATGTTATATACACAGCTGCAGACAGCTATCAGTAGCCTGGTTTCTTTATTTGCTAATACTGAGCTCCAGAAGTATGAATCATGCACCTACCTAATGCAGAAGTGCATTTCCATTGCCCTCTGGGTGGCGTGTCCAGCCCCACAGGTCACAGAACAGCCTACAGCTACCAGCAGCCATAGTGGAGATGAGCAAAAGCCACAGGCTTTTGTCCTGAGACACAGGGGGATGTAACGAGGCAGCAAATATTTCTGCAGCCGTCTGTCATCCCCACACATCAATAGAGTCAAGCCCTGATGTTTCTGTCTAGAAAAACATGAGGCATGTCCTCAGATTCCATTCAGCGCACGTGGCTTTGTGAGCTCAGACAGACTTCAGTCCAGCATAACGCAGTCAAAGCCCTGGTTCTAAATCCCATCTCTTACAAATTCACAACCTCAATACATCCCTCTCATGCATCTTTCATTCAGTAGATACAGTTCCAAAAAGTTGGAGGTTTTATTCTTAAAAAAAAAAAAAAAAAAAACACAAAAAAAAACTACAGATCAAGATTTGTCAGGTATCATCTTTTTTCTGCTTTGTTTAATGTCAATCCCAACTCTTACGCCTTTATTTAGTTTGGTGGCATAATGCAATGGAAAGCACAGCAGTGAGAGCATAGCAGCAAGGTTCCATGCTGCAGCAAGTGAGGCCTTGCTCAAATGCAACAGCTATGGGCACAGAAGTAAAGGGAAGAAGCTGCTTTTTACCTTCAAAAGGCCTCAGGTAGGCAGGGATCTCCAGTGAGATACCCTCACCTCCACTGCAAGCCTTCACATGAGGGCTGGATCCTGGCTCCACCCTTCTGGTCACACAGCTGCATTGCATTGCATTGCACTCATCTGAGCCTCCTGGGCTGGCCCTGCCTTCCCACCAGGTGTCCAATCAGCAGTTCAGGCCATGACTTAGCATTTCCACTACACTTCTTACAGGGATGAGAATAAATAACATATCAAACTTAAAAAAATCTCAGTGACCTTATCTGAGCGTACGATAATATTTTCAACGTATTTTCTCAGCAGCAATAGAAGAAAGGATCCAGCACAGCTTCCCAAAAAAGACCTGGGGGTCACTCTAAGCTTGGCTTACTAAAATAGTTTATACTCCAAGTAACTGAAAAAAATAAAATGGGAACCCTGATGCTTTCTCCTCTGAGGAGTTCTGAGATCTTTACCATTCAGGTAGGCACGTACTGATCAATGCCGACACTTGAGCATTTGGTTTACATATTCTTGTTCTCTTCTCTACTCCTCTGAAGCTGCTGCTTTTGGCAACCACCTCTCAGATACAAGTGGGAAGCCAAGGAAAAGAAGAGCATCTTGTTCTGTCTCTAACCACAATCACTTCATTCTTATACCATAAAAGCCCCGCTATTGAAACAGTAGCTGACGCTAATCTCCACTAACGACCGGAAAGCAGGCAATTAGCAAAACTACAGCGAAGGCTTCCCATCTTACCACTTTGAAAGTAAGCCTTAAAAACTTGATTGCTTTGGCATCCATTCTACTCACAAAGAAGCAGAAGTGCTTCCAGCACAAGTACTCGGTGACACCAAACAAAGCATCAATAGAGAGATTAATAACCACGTGCAGGAAGAAGAATCAAACTCACCCAACTGAGGAAGGGTCCCTCCAGCTACGCAGCACCCTTTCCCAAAAAACAGCACAGGTCCAAGTGATGTCCTCCCTCCTGTGGCTGGCCCTTTTATGAGCCCAGGGGGGCTGCAGCCTTTCTGGCCACCTGGAAAGCACAGCTGCAAACAATTGACCCATGTTCCCTTGCCAGCAACACCCCCTCCCCAGGTGCTCAATCACCACTTCAAGCTGTTTGCTAACGGTTCCCCTACAGAATCTTAAAAGCAGCTTCAGCAAATAAAGCAGAACATCTCCTGACATGGAGAAGAAAAGGGGGAATTCCTCTGGTCAGGCCTCCCCAGAAAGCCAACAGCTATTGTAAGACAGCAGTGGTAGATTAAATATGACTTGAGTGCATTGTAACCTACACCAAAACCAAAGCTGCTGCTGTGTATTTTGGAGACCTGAGCATCCAAACACCAGCCCAAAGCTTTCATCTCCCGATGACTGAAACCCAATTAAAGGAGAACCAAGTGACAGGTTTCACACTAAACATGGCTCAGTAGAGATGCTCAGCAGCTCTTAGTTCCCTGCTTTATCAAAGCTGTCACTTCCCCTGCCTCTAAAAATTAGTAATAAAAAAAAAATTTGATTTGCCTCTAATGGGTGTCAAGATAAAATCAATGATCTGTCTGAAATGTGAGTAATTTTAAAATCATGAACGAATTTACACAAAAATAGGGGGAAAAAAAGAGAGAAAGAAAGAAAAATTAAGAGAATGAAATGCTACAATGCTGAGTTGTTCAACATATCAGAGAGAGCAGCAGGGAGAGATAACACTGTTTATAGCAGGATGGGCTTTGATTAAACAAACATGCTCAGGTTCTTGTTCTTTCCAGCACCCTTTGACAGAAAATGCTATAAAAGCTGGAAGCGACTTCCATTCCCCTTTCTCTGCACAGGAAAGCTGTTACCAGAATGAGAGCAGTCTGGACAGACAGTCACTCGACTGCTGCAGGCTCCCTTGCCCTCCCTTTGGGGAAGGTGAGACTTCACTGACCTTGCCAGAATGAAAAACTGAACACCTTCTGCCATCCAGAACAGCACCTACTTCATCAAAAGGTAGAACATCCACAGTAGCACAGCAAAACAAACACTTCTTTTCATCCTTCAGACTTCATACCTCTGCCTTTCACTGTCTGTGCTCCGGTGATATTGTTATCTCATCCTTTCAACAGCACTCATGCTTATGGGTTTGAAAAACTGATACCTAATGAGGTCACAAACTGGTGGTCTCCATTTCCATCCCTGAGAACAGCAGTGGAGTCTCCAGAACACACTGATCTCCAATTTGCACAACTCCCTACTATTTAGCCCTGTGTATAAGCTGCTGCTTGGCACCAAATGAAGTTGGAAACTGATGACTTAAGGCAATGGTGGTGTTTAACATGGAGCAGCATGTAAGGCTTTCATGAAGAAAAAGAAGAGGTTCTAGACAAACACAGTCAAGAAGACAACTGCTCCTGTGTGACCAGACCCAACACCAACAGGATTCCAACACACACAGATAAAGGTACACTGGTGCAGTTTGCACAGTCTTCCTACAAACACAGTGCACAAACTGAGGGAAATAAACTTTGCATGCTGCACGGTTTAATCTGGCACGGTTGTTAGAACAGCTACAATGAATGGAAGGTGGCATCCTCTCCAGCCACACTGAACTTCCAATTTTACTACCTGCATAGTTAGCTTCTCCAGTTTCATATACAAAGATCTGTTCTGCTCTTCCAGTTTGCTGCGTTCAGCTTCCAGCTCCTCAATCTTCAGCCTGGAGGGGAAAGGAAAGACAGTAAACATGTGTCCTTGCCCAGTCCCTCCACAAATAGTCAAGTTACAAAATGAAATCACGTACAGTGGCAGATGATTCCTGTATTCAGTATCACAAAGCTACACTACTGAGATAGTCCAAACTTACAACTAAAAAATCCAAGTTTGCATGATTAAAATTAAATTCCAGCAATATTTGGTCAAAACACACAACTTGAACATAAAGCAAATTCAACCTAGCTACTTCCTGAACCAGAGAATGAGTCAAGATGATCATGTTCAATAACCACCAACAGCTGAAACCTCCACGCGTGTGTCAGATCTCTTTTTGATCTGATTTATACTTTTGGCCTTTGCAACGCTCCTTGGCAGTAAGTTCCAAAATTTAATTATGTGCTGTATGAAAAATTAGTTCATTTTGTTTTATACTTCACATGTGATTATTTCACTGAGCGCCTGTTAGTTCTGCTATGAGAAGTTGTGAATAATTGTCCCGTCCTCCCCTCTCTGAACTACTTTACAGATCTCCCCCACCACTTCTTGAAGAATCTCACTTCACTCTTTCCCCACATTAAAGGCTTTCCATAGTTCTGCCCACTGTTATTGCCCACCCTTTTTGTTCCTCAGTTTTATACAGACTTCTTGCTATGAGAAGAGCTAGATCTACAAACAGCACTCTGATGTATTCAGTAGTGTGAGGCTGTTTTCTTCCCAACTTCTAACTCCTAGTTACATATAGTACAAATATTGTACAAGAAAAAGTAAAGGTGTTTTTTCTTACTTGCATGGGTTTTACATTTATTGACATTCAACTTTGTGTCCCACTTTGAGTAGTACGAGATCCTTCTGAACTACAGCAGCCTGATCAGTGGCATCATTTCATATTACCTCAAACCGTCTCCTCGCTACTCACAAACTTCTTTGCGCTGGAAAACTCCCAACACAAAGCATTTCAGGATCTCATGGAAAACCCAATGAACATTTGTTCTTTGAGCTTCCATCTTTTAACTTTGCGTGACACGAATTAATGGAAGAAAAATTTATCAAGCTTTACAAATTATAAAGCTATTATCTCTGACCCAGAAAATCCTAGAGACATTACATTAGAAGTTAGGAGAGCCTTCACAAGGTACCCCAGTAGCTTTGCCACTTGTGCAGAGGAATCCAGAAATGGCCACCAGTGTAGACAGCACAGTGGGGCAGTCAGCCTCTGCAGGGCTTAATTCTTATTAATCCAACAAAAAACCTTCTTTCTTATTCCATTCAAGTTTCTTTGAGACCTTTGGCTCAAAGCTTTCTGAAAGGTCAAATATGTTGTATCAACAAGATCAGCTTTAGCCAAATGGTTGTTCAGTTCTTCAGAAAGCTCTATTAAACTTGTTATGCAGGAGAAATTATTATGAAACGTTCAATATAACATTTTTGTTTGCATTTCAGTACAGAGTACACGAACTTCAACACTCTGAGAATCCAGCTGCCTCATTTCAACTTCCTGTGATTAAATGTGCATTTAATACATATTAACATTGATCCCTGAGTCCAATTTTCAGAGAATGTTTTTGCAGAATAATTTTTTAAAATTAATTATCTTGCTTGATAACATGCACTTTTAAATTATCTAAATTAAGCTGACAATCTTTGCACCGTGACAATACACAATATGTCCATCTGCCATCACCCACAAGTTATGCAACAGAAATTTCAGGTACAAGTGAGGAGTCATCTCCCCTAGAAACAGGGCAGGAGAGGGAAACGCTACAAACCCTTCCTCAGAAGCCAGCTGATCTACATGTTCAGCACAGAAATGTCTCCCTTATAAAAATGCAGCTTCAATTGCTTAAATTATTTGTAAGCCTGACCCCTGCTGGTAATTTTCAGATATTATAAAGGATCATCGTTTTCTCTCTTGGACGCTTCTAACACGCAGATGAACAGCTTTTAGCATTGTTGAGGCCATTCAAAAAGATCATTGCTAATTTCCAGAAGAGATGCTCAGCTCGCAGGGATGGAGGATGCTGAAGAAGCGGGAGACTGAAAAGGTCAGTAAAAATGGAAATTTGGAAGATGGAATGAATGCTGTTAATGGTGTGCATCTAAATGGATTGCTGAGCAGAGAGCGAGAACACTCTTCTGTGAGGAAGAACAGCAAAGCAGCTCCTGAAAGGTCAGAGGCAGGCACAGGACTCCCATCAGTGCCTTCTCCATATTGCACAGGCTGACTTTTTATTTAGAACAAATTTTCCCCATCCAGCCCCCAGACAAGCTGTGGTGCTGCTGCTGTCTGCCTGCACATCACTCTGCACAGAGCTCAGGCCCTTATCTAAAAACCATTCACAGCCATCACCAGAAAACATTTGCGAAGGACCTGAGGGACAAGCAAGGTGTGACAAGGGAAGGCTTCGAGCAGTTAACATTTCTAAATATTTCCCCTGCAATTTTAAGATGGGTTCATTCCTTCCTGCCCTTTCTGTCTGCCCAGACGGGCATCAGACTGCCTCACAGCGCAGCAGGACGCAGCTCAGCCCGCTCACCTGCAGAGCTGAAGCTCCGGGAGGGTTGGGAACACTGCTGGAACCTCTTTGTGCCAGGGAGGTTTTCAGGACTCACCAGTGCTTTCACAACTTAGCCCTCTTCTAACCTATTTTTAACACTGTTAAGTGTCCTGGATCTGCAGTAGGAAAAGCATTAAGAGCTGTTAGGAAACAGTTTGTGCTGTTCTAGCTTTGCTTTACAAGCCCTGGGGAATGCTCCCCAATGGCAAAGAGAGAGAAGCAAGGGAAATCCTATCTATACATAAACACAGCGAAGCATTTGCAGCTGGTGGTTAAGATACAGCAGTTAAATATTGAAAAATATTTACATGCTTGGCACCAGAGTTTTTCTTTTAAGTGAATTCAGGTACAGGGCCAACCACACACTGCTTCTGGATGCTCCAGCATCAGTGCAGGCAGCCTTAGTCTGCATGCACTTTGCATGCTCTCTGTCCAGGGACGTCTGCAGGAAGATCAGTGATCCCATTTTATCACCAATTTGCATGCCTCCACTTGTTACACCTGGGAGTTACTTTCATGTGGGCAGAACAATCCAAGATACATTCATGTGAAAAGAACACAGCGTGGAGTAGAGAAACACTGGGGTACAGCAAAACCATCTATCAACTTCATGTCTGCCCAAGAATGAATGCTGGCGCTCATTTTAAAAGCAGCCTTGTGGCACAAGGGAGGAAGAAACGTTAGTTACTTTCCCAAATACTGACACCACTCTCGACTTTAGGGATACAGGGAAAATCATCCAGATCGATATTTGTCAAATTTACCAACTTATTCTCTTGAAAATATCTAAATTGTGGGAAAGATCTCGTCATATTTCCAGAAGACTTTTCCTGCATGAAATGCAGATAACCTAGAAGCAAAGGTTCCAAAGGCAGCCATCTCCTCAGCCTTTTGCAAGATATTTAGTGCAAGACTACTGATAAAGTTGGCATTTACTCAGACTTGTAGATTTTCTTTCTTCCCCAAAATTGTGCTTTACATTGCCTCCACTGCACATTTTACTGTCCCAAATTAGAAGATTGAACACAAAAAACACTGTAGCTTCAGGTCTACTGAAACGACACTTGTGAGAGAATCAGGAGACGTCGCATTCTGTGCGTTCAGTCTGCCTGCAGTGCGCTCAGGTGGTGCGCAATAGCTGCTGCAGAGAAAGGCCAGGCTGTTCAATTTGGGAAGAAGCAAAAAATAAATAGAAAGAAAAAGAAGGTAAGCTTTAGAATTTCTCAACAGCATCCACTCGCTCCCAAACATCCCATTCCGTCCAGATGCTGACCACTGACTACTCACCACTGTCACTCCTCCATCATCTTTATTTGTTTCTAATGTTCAGAGATGTGGTACACGATTGCCTGCAGAGTAGCATGGGTATCACCAAAGAGGACATGTCTCACAGAGGCCCCATCTGTGAAGAGGACATGGCCATGTGGAAATGCTATTGCTGAACAAGAAACTACTGAATGGAGCAGAAAATGTATGTGTTGGGAAGGCGCTATTAAGGGATCCAGATGGCATTGAGATGGTGTTAGGAGCAGAGCAGACAGAATTCCAGCAAGTGTGACTAATAGGCATTGGCAAGAACATGAATTTCTTTTGAATTACTGTAACTCTACCCAGTCACTATATCCACAGAAAACATTTAGGATTTACTGGGGCTGCAGTTTGACAGCAGAGTGAAAAAGTTCAGATTTGTTCCAGCTGAAAAGGTCCTTCAGCTGTTGCTGCTTAAGTCTTCGGTGAAGTTGTGGGGGTTTTTTTTGAATAGGTTTCTTTTATTTATAGGCTCTGAAATATCAGTTCCCGCACAGCTATCATCTTCTCCCTAAAAGGTGTTAATGCCTAAATGCTCTGTGCTTTGCTATACCCCGCAGTACACGAACTCAACAATTTGACCGCTTTTTCCTTTCGTAAGATCTGCAGAATATAAACAAATGGAATTTCAGAGGGAGCAGCGAGAAGCGTGAAGAATGACAGCATTAGCACTGGCTTTTATGGTCCCTTCAGAAACAATGATGCTGGGAGAGAGTTTCGCATTTAAAGTTATAAAAGGTCTGACGAAAGAGCACTTTGTTCTCCAGAGGAGGAGGAAAAACTGATGAAGTCTTTCAAGCCTCTTGCTGAAAATTTACTTTCCATACTAAAGAAAAAAATGAGACAAAAGTATATTTTTAAAAGCTCTCATTCACTCACAAGAGGTGAATACAGATTCAAAGAATTAATATGGATTTTTTTTCCCTTTATGCCTCTCCTTTTGTTTTCAGAAGTTAGCTCCTAACCACAGGGTGGATATGGAAACGCCTGAAGCTCACAGCCCTGCTCTGCAGACTCCTCTTGCTGGCTTCTCATGGTTCTGCTCTATTTTTCACTCTCCTTCATGACAGCAGCTAACTGAAGTGGCTGGGCTCAGTCCAGAAGAGCAGACACACTGTACTGTAGGTTAATGAGCTTTCAAAGAACACAGTAAACTACAGAAATGGAAATAGCTCTGTCATAAGCTACGGGATTTCTTTCCCCACGAACCAATTTGCAAAGTTTGTGCTCTTCTTCCCCATTTGCTGCCAGAACTAATTTCTGGCAACAGTCTGTAGATGAAAAGAGGAGCAGTGGAGCTCGTGTTGCCAGCTCCAACTTAGCAGCTACATAAAACTGAATAAACACTTGTGGCCCCGTGGCACAGCAGACCCAATCCCTATGCATAGTGATCTCTCTTCTCCTCTGAAGCGTTTCTGTTCTTCCACCACAGCCACCCAGTTGGTCAGAGGGGACTCATCCAGCCACGTCACATGAAGGGCTCTGCCATGGATCATGGAGAATTATTCCTGACCCCCAAGCATGGGGGGAAGACAGTGAGTTATCATGTGCTGCTTTGACAAGGAGACTCTCCTGTGAAGAGCAAGCTTGGCCCAGTTCATGTCCAGTGCACAGAAAATGCCAGAAAACACAAAAAAAGGCTGAACCACATCCTCTGACTGCTCAAGTCTAGGACCATAAGCAAAAAAGGTTTTATTCAGAGTTGGCCCTACAGTGCAGAGAAACGTGTGTGCTGCTGGATGGGGTGTCTGAGAGTCTGAAAAGAGTGAAGCTGTAATGGTAGCCAAAACATGGAAAAAAGAGCAAGCACTGGCTTACCAGCTTGTGAGCAACGACTGCTCCAGCTAAAAGAGAACATTTTTTCAGTCATTTACTGTTAGAAACCAAGAGCTGAGCAGTGAAAAGAGTGATTAAAAACAAACAAATGCCTGCTTTTTAGCACAGCTTTGTAGCTAAATGACTAGCATCAGGGCCGGGGAGGAGAATTTAAATCAGCTCGTCTACTGTAACGACTGAACGCAATTCAGGAAAAAGCAAAAGCAAAAAACAGCACAGAATTAGATCCAGGGACTGTGGTCCCTGTGCACCCATAGCCCCAGGAGCACACAGCACTGAATTGGGAAAGGCAAGACAAAATATCACTGCGAAACCAGTCCAGAAGCTCAGCTGCTTTGATTAAACAGCCTTGAGTGTACGGCTCAGGACTGGAAAATAGCTTCACATCATTAATGGCTTTACTGGGAATAGGCTTGTCTTTCTGTCATACTTTGTGAGGAGGCTTTGACACAATTTCATGAAAGGAGGATAGAGATGAGATTAGTATCAAAGAAATTCTTTGAAAACAAAAGGAGAGGGTGAAAAACATGACCTAGAGGGCTTGAGGGCTACCCATGAGCAAACTCTAACACCACAACACCATAACGAGTGGGTAACTGTGAGTTCCACTTGTGCCTGCTCGGGAAATAGATTTTAATTCAGAACAAAGCCAGACATCTCCATTCTCTCTGCCAAGAGCCTCCAGCAATACGAAGCGGTCCCAGACCACGTGGCAATCCGGCTGCTCCCCCCTACACACACTGTCCCTGAAGCTGCTCCATTAATAGATGGCAAAAAATGCTGTTCAGTGAAGATAAACACTGAGTAATGAGTCTTGGAGGGGGAAACAAAGAGACTGAACGTCTCCTCCATGAAAGGGTGCTGCAGCCCATACCAGCCCAGGGAGGGAGAGACCGAGGAGCTGCTTTGGAAACATTCTGAAAACCTTCAGCTCCCAGAAGACAGCAGACAGGATGCTGGCTTCACTGATAGAGAGGCGTAAAATTAATCAGGAACCATGGGTTTAATGTTGCTGCAGAGGTGCTGAAATACTTCTGCAACAGTATAAACATCAGGTTTCAGAGGGTCTGCTGCACCTCAAAGGGAAAACTTGAAGGAGCTCGGGTCAAATAAACATCCACAATAAGCAAAAGTAGATGGAGACAGGTTTACTCTGTTGAAAAAGGAAAGTTACAGCATATTATCTTCTACCAGAACTCACATGCATGATGAAATTAAAAAAGGGAGATGTATGCCTTGGGTCTTCAGAACTATTACACCACCTTGAGGGAACTACACTCCAGGAGTGAGATCCTGTGATTAGGTTTATAGCCTTAAAACGTATTGGAAGAGCTTAGCCGAACATGTGTTATTTTCCAATAGCTTCCCTCTGCTATGGAACTGGGCTTTCAAAGCCGTAAAACAAGCTCCAGAGGCAAGGCACAAGAGCAAAGTCATAACACGCAGGCCAGTAATTTCTGCTTTCTGCAAGATTCTGCTTGCTGCAAAAACCCACTTTCAGTCCTAAGAGGCAGTAACACTTCATAGTGATGGAGCTGAAAATATAAAAGAATTAAGAAGTGAAACTCCAGCCAAAGTCTTACATCAGCTGAGAATAAAAAACTCCTCCTGTCAAGATCTGATTTGCTCAGCTTAAATAAAAGGAACTTTATTAAACATTCAGAAACAGATGAACTTTTCTATGCTCAGTATTTATTGTGTCACCTGGTTTGGAATGGAAGCTGTAAATGCTTTAATAAATACATGGAAAGGTTGTCTGGCTTCCCTGTAGCTTTTGTTAATGCTTGTGTATCCTCTGCTGAAATGCTGTTTTGTAACTTCTCTTTCACTGAATAACAACAGGTACCCCTCTGCCATCTGCAGCAATGCACCAGGGGAAACATCCCTCTTTTATCTCCAGTGCTACATGCACATCAGTATTACAAAAGCTCAATTCTAAACCTCTTTACATACATGCCAACAGATCCTATGTTTACAGTCCAGATTTGGTCAAAATAAGAAAAAAACAGCAGTGCTCCTTCCACAGGGAAGGAAGTCAATAAAGGGAATAGCAGTGCAGGAGCCAGTCTTATGAAGCCAGTCTTATGAGTGCAAGAGACCCCAAATACACTAAAAGAGCCTGCAGACTCTCAAAAGATTAAAAAAAAAAGCTTGTAAAGTAGGTAAATGCAAGAAAAATCAGGGGCTGAGGCTTTCTGCTAATGCTTCACGACTTTCTTACATCCATAAGAACAGACAGGAAAGTAAAAAGTGTGCTCAGGAAAAGAAATACCACTTCTGAAATACAAGGGAAACATGTTCTAATCAATGTTACTCCGCTGCTCCCTGAATAAGAGTGCCTACATACATGGCATGGCAATGTAGCACAATGAGGTCTCTTATCTGGGGCTCCACCATAGGACAGCAGTAACATCAGCAGACAGTGAAACTAGCCTGGGCTTTTCCTTCTCCTTAGTTCCACTGAAAGCTGCTGAACCTTCCAGCTTTCCCCTTGCTTTGCTCACCTGAGTGCGTCAACCTCCTCCTTGGTGATGAAGGTACTCTGCTCTGCGGTGCACTCTCGAGACTTCAGGACCTTCATCTCCACCTCCAGCTGCAGAAGAGAAAAGGAATGAGTTCCTCAGTGCTATTGGGGAAATGGAGATGTGAGAAGAGCAAAGGAAGGAGGAAGGAACCGTTACATCTTGCACAGGTCAGACCTCTTTCAGGATACTGACAACTCCTCATGCACTGAATGCCACAACCTCAGTCAATCCTTCTCCACTCCAAGTTCCCTTCTGCCTTTTCCCAACATTTTCCCTGAAGCAGATGAGGCACAAGAATTTGATTATTTTCTACATTGAGCTCCTGTTTCTTTTTTAGAGATTTCCCCAACCCATCCCTAATGCATAATTGGATGCAGAAAATTATTAGTGCGCTATTAGGAGCTATCTGGCACCCAAGATTAAGTATTGACAGTTCAACCTCATTTAGCATCAATTCCTCCCATAAAGAAATGAACCACAGGATTATGCTGTCTCGTCCAGGACAAGGCTGACACACACACACTGAATAGAAAACACAGGGGAGTATTTCCAGCACTTTCCAATATACATTTCCAGCTCCAGCTGCTCAGGTGGGTCTGGTGGAACCAAGAAACAGTTAAGAGTACTTTCTGCCTTTGCACTTGTTTGGGAAGAACTCACAAGAAAATACTTCAAAATTCACAAACATGAAAACTTCTTACCCAGACTCAATCATTCCCAGGTTCTCTGACTGTACCCCTAACCCAGCTATCAAGACAAGGCACAGATGATTAAACCCCATTACCTGTTTCTAGACCTCTCAGAAAGCAACTTATCACAAACTGCAAGCAGAAGAAGTATTTAGAGGACATGCAGCTTCCATTCCAGCACCTTCTCCCAGCTTAGATCTCCTCATTCAGAGTTGGGACCTCCTTGTCCTCTGTCTTTTGCAGCTGATAACTAATTCCCCTCATAAATTCTATGGACAAACACTGTATTTTTGCCACACAGAAGGAAAACAATAAGCAATTCAGCCCTAATTAGCAATGCAGAACTTATGACCACAGACAGCTCAATATCAGAGAAATAATTCCCTTGAACAGCACTGATTGGACTGGTAGAGAAAAATCACATTGGAAAGATGAACTTTGTGCAACAGAAGCAAGTTAATAGAAATTCCCCAGTTTCACAACTACTACTCAGCCAGAACTGAAATCTTGACATATTGCCTCTTTGCCCTTCCCTACTTGCCAGGAAAGGCAGACAGAACATGGCAGCACTGTTAGCAAGAAAGGGCAGAAAGGGGATGGCTGCATTACTCTCCCTCCCCTTTCCAAGGGAATAGCATTGGAGCACTGGAGCAGGTAGAGCTGAGTTTTTTGCTAAATTCCTCTCTGGCACCCCAAATCCCTGCATTCTCCCTTCCCTGTCAAAAGGCATCCAGAAAAAGAAAAAAATAAAGCAAGGCCCACCTGCATCATCAAGCTGTACAAATGTTAATGTATATTAGCTGCCTGATAAGATTATCACAGCCAGAAATGCTTCCTTCAATTTTCTGATTACTGAGCTTATCTCTCCCAGCTCAGCCCATCACAGATGGCTGAGGATAAAGCAAGCGCTCCAGATAGTTCAGGAATGTGAATAAAAGGTACCAGGATGAGGAGCAGCCTTCAATTCCACCCTGCTTCTAGGGAAGAACTCATCATATCTCTTGGTTCCCACATCTGCTGAAGGCTGGATGTGTCTGCTATCCGAGTTTTCTGCTGCTTTTGGGCTGCATTTGAAGACGGAGGGGTTGGTAAATATGTTATTTATCACATTCTAAGCGGGCTCAGCCTTGAGTCCAAGTGCCACCTGCTCACCAACACGAGCAGATAAATCACTGCTGCCTTGCGGGTAGAAAGGGGGTGGAGGGGAAGGGCCAATGAGACGCTGCTGCGAGAAGGGGTCACCTGTGTTTGCTGCACAGAGAGGAAAAATGGAGTGCAAATGGGAAAGGGAGACGGGAGAGCGAATGCACACATGCTGAAGTGAGTGCTGCAGTGAAATCATCAGTGCACATCTTGCTTGAGATAGAGCAGTGACAAATTCGTGCCAGGCGCTCTCTGTAGCGGCACAATGAGATTCTGCTGGGTTTGTCAGAGCGAGGAAGGAAGGGCACAGGGCCTGCAATGGTGTTCAAAGCCATTTCTGTGCCCTCCGAATTCTCATGTGTCAGAACTAGTGGGCTGTAAATCTGATGTCCCTGGGAGAGGTGGGCACAGCGTGAGCATTGCGGTACCAACCAGCCCCAGTGGGGCAGTGCTGCACGGCGCTGATTGCAGCTGCTGGAGAGTCTCGGGTTCACATCAAGGCACAACTTTGTGCCATTACGAATTACTGACGTTAAAATCTCATTAGTCTTTGACAATAAAAGAAAGAAAGGAAAAAAAAAAAAACAGTTAAGGTATTAAATATTTCATTTAAAAAAAAAAACAACAACAAAAAACACCACCCTGTTGCTTGTTTCCTTCAGTTGTTGGGGTTTGAGCAAGGAAAATGTCCCTGCCTGCCAATCTCACAGAGAATATTAAAACTGTTATTTATGTCTCTTTCAGGGCAAAAAGAAAGTTAGTTGAGATAAGCCGAAACAGGTTCTTGATGGCATCCAATTCTGCTTTTCTGAAGGCAGCTCAGCACAAGCGAAGAGGTCCTCACAGAATAAGGACGAAGAGAACAGCAAAGAGAGCAAAGAATGAGGAATATGTTGATGGAAGCTTCCTTGTGTGCGGCTGCACCTGCTTGACACGAAGCAGCACACGCAGTGCAGCCCATGGGCAGCGCTGGCACCAGCCTGGCATCGCACAGCCACTGCATCCCCGGGCACACAGGTCTGATGGTCTGCAGCTGAGACAGAAAGCAGAGAAAAAGAAGGCAGAAAAACAGCAGAAGTGAAGGAGGAGATAAACAGCGTGCAGGCAGTACAAGCACAAAGCCATACTCTGTGATTTTCAGCTCTGTCTCTTCACTTGTCCCCTTGCTACAAGAGGCAAAGATCAGTCCCAAGAATGGATCCGGAATGGAACAGCCTCTTGTTTTTTACTGCCTATTTCCCAGCACACCACTTGTACTCTATCACTTTCTAGTCCTGCTCTCTCTCTTTTTTTCCATCCATGCCTTCTGGAGGCTTTTCCCACCTGTTGGACTAACTCAGTCTTCCTGTCTAAACTGCAGTTTTTATCAATAATTTTTTTGTAACTGGCTGAGCTAAATTTATTACAACAAATACATTAAGTTAGTAGAAACATTTCCCAGTAGAGAGGGGGAAAGGCTGCTTAAATTCCTGCTCGTTGCTGTATTTTCCCATTTATTACCCAACAACCCAGGTCAGCTCCAACACTTTAGCTTCTTTAAGCAGCATTGAGAGCAAAGGGAGAACACGCTGTCCCATAACACTGCATTGCATCCCTTAGGCTGGAAACTGCACAAGAGGGATCTGCAGCCCTTCAGAGCCTCGGGGTTAACAACACCCATGATCAGCCCCAGTTACTGCCCCATTACACAGAATCCATCAGCAATCTGAAAAGAGGAAAGGGCAGAATAACGAGTGGTGTCAGAGTCCACGGCTCGTGAATAAAACACATAAACAGGTACGTAACGTTTTGACTATGCAATGTTCTCTTTTCAGAACACACTGGAGCCTCTTGCTCCCATCCTCAATTGATAGCATTTATCCAGAACCTTTTCTCCTCTCTTACATCACAAGTGTGAATTTCAGCCTAGCTTCATTACTGTCAATTGAGAACGATCTGGGCACATCTAGAATATAGAATAATTTCAGAATGACCACATACGCAAATAGCCCAAAAGGTCAAATGCAAATATTTTTCCCAAAATAAACGCTGTCAGGGCTGTTTACCATCTGAGAAGGAGAGGAAAGAAGAACACGGATTTTCATCTAGTGCTTAATTAAATGGAGTCTTTCTTCTCTCAGCCCTACTTTCCAACCTGCCTGGACAGGACTTCAAGATGGCGGCTCTCCTCCAAGTGTTAATGACATAGCAGACACCCACAGCACTGCAAAAAATGTGCTCCTCTCCAGTTTCCTTTTCTGTACAAACTATTTCAAGATCTCTGAGGTGACAGGAGGAATATGAAACTACAAATTCATCCCCTGACAGCTAGAAGAAACAGAATTTTATTTTAGAGATTTGATTTACTTGGTGTATTTATGGCATTTGTCATTGCTGACCCATATTTGTACCCTCCCCAGCATGTTCTCTGAGTCTCTGCAACACCACAGACCCACTGTTCCTCCCACTTGACTCCAGCAGGCCTCAGTGTTGATAAAGATGAACATTTCCAAAGCATCCCACTCACCCACTGCCCACACTCTTCTTCCAATGGGATTTATTACAGATTTAAGCTTCTAAATTAAATCAGTCACCCTCGTAAACTGTGTTCATGGACTTCTGAATATTGGAACATGCTGTCCAAAATAACGACCAGATCCCTGTACAGGTGCCATGTTGTAAGCAAGGAAATTCATAAAGGACTCAGTCTAGAGTACTTCAGCTCACTGCTCAAGTCAGGATTTGCTCGCCGAAAAAAAGGGCCAGTTCATTTTCTCACATCATGTACACGTATTTCATAGAACACGTGCTGGAAACATATAGCCATTATTTGAATAATGAATGCATTTTAGTGAGGGGCTGATACAGCAATCTTATCCTGATGAAGTGTGTCTGCACGTCATTCAGCATTCTTGGAGCTGTAAAAAGCAGGAAATGCTGAATCCATTATAAATGTCTAAAGGTTTAGTTAACAATGGGCTGATGCAACATCCTTTGAAAGGCCTTCCTCAGCAAAAGAGCTGATTTTAAAAGGCAGAGATAAATAGGCACTGAATTGCACAGAGCCAGCATGGAAAGGTGAATTGAGAGGTTCTGTTTGACTACAAGTCTCAACACAATTTAGCAAGCTATTTAAATACATAAATATTTAAGTGTATGAAAACCAAGCAGATTTGGAAGCGGGTGCTAAAACAGATCAGAGCAGAGAAATAGGGCCCTGAGCACGACCCACATGCTGTGGTTGCAACGCAGGCACA